TATGCAGATATCAATTTCAGATTTTAGAACATTTCGATTTCTCTTCTAATTCAGATGCATGATTGAATTGTCTTCACCTTTAAATTTCTACTAACAACTGGTATTATAAATTTGGAGTTACTAAGAACAAAGGTGCACGAGACAATAACTCCAATGACCACAGTCATCACGCCAGATTACTCGGTATTGCGACCGAGTGACTTCAAACGCGATACGAAAGCATTAATTAACCGTAATCTTCGCATGCTGGCGTTGCATTCGCATCATTTGCAAGCAAGAAAGTATTACTGCATGAAACGCCAAGCGAAGCCAGTGTTCGCGATATTATGCATCGAGGAACCTTCATGGGAACATCAGCGGCGTGGAAACGTCCCTGAGTCTCGTCTGGATGCCATTTTGACTTTCAAGTAGTTTCGCCTTTAAATACTACCTTGCACTCGTGTCATCAGACTAGATTGTTTTCGTAAGCCAAGGTAGAGCTCATCAATCAGTATAAACAAAGTTGAAGAGCAATTAAATTTGCTAAATCAAACACTTTGACTTCGATCGAGATGGAAATTTAATAACTCATTTGTATCAGAGTGCCAATTTTTTTTTACCACTGAATACCAGTCTCATGTACAGCTAATTGTCATAAGAAAGGAAAGATTCCAATTTCACAGAAACTAATAATTCCTCTAAATGGATGAGACAGCCTGTTGACAGTCTACACGTGAAATTTCTAGCTCGCATTGGCCAGCGTCGGAAACTCGAAGCGATCGGTGTGACGTTTCGCCTAATTGTCAGTTTAAAGAAGTCCGGCAGCTGTTCCTCCGTACTCTTGAAGAACTAGTTATATCGAAACGCGTGTCGACGAACAGAGAAAATAACTAAATAGCCAAGAGGTTGGGTCGTGTTGGTCGGTTCGTATGGCTGAATCGAAGCCTGGTGTAGCAGCACGTGGCCGTTTATGGGAGACGCGATGTCCATTGGATGGCAAGCCAGAGTCGAGTCACTGGACGTGTGGACGACCCTGACCTTGACTGTTAGACAAGGACAGCGAGACGCAACACCGTACAGCTCCGTTCACAACAGCGCCTCGTGCACAGCCGGGTCTTTTAAATCGTCGCGATTTTGCCTGACCTACATCGTTGTCTCAGTTAAGTCATAATTTTTTTTTTCTTACGTGTATTTTTTATATTAATAAAAATCAAGTGTATCTATCAGAGTCGATAGTGTTCGCTAAAGCGTTCGACACTGGCCAAGTGAATATTGCAAGTGTCGGTCCAGAGGGACCGACACCGGCCAAACGAATGGCGAGGTGTCGGTCCGCACGGACTGACACCTCCTCCAACGTGTTGGATTCTACTGTGCGCAGATCTTTCTCTCGTGGAACGAGATTTTTATTTGGAATTTCACTTACACACGGATCGTGTTGTGTCGGAAGATAATCAGCAGGTGATTAATAATTCGGAATTTAACAACGAGCACGACATGTTGCAAATAGTTTCAATTATTAATTTCACCAGACCAAACGAAGGGACTAGACTTAGGTTAGGTTAGGTTAAGTGCGTGTGAATCGAGCTTGAGAGAGCACACGCGCCACGTTGCACTCGCTGCGCGCGAGAATGCGCGAAAGAGGAGGACGCCAGTTGTCGTACTCGTCGGGCATGGTTTGTTTGCATTCTGCGGCCATGAAGCGGTCATCAGTCTTCCATGAAAATGATGGTCGCGCATGGGGCCCGATGCCCTTCGTCTACCGGCTTATCTCTCTTTCCCGCTCTTAACCACTCTTTTCCTTTGCACGCCGCTCTGCGTATACAGTAGCTAAGAGAAAGAAAGAGAGAGATATTGATAACCAAGAGAGATATACGAGAACTAAAATAATAAACTTTCAGACAACAGGTTTTTCAGACAAAGTAAATCTTCGTGTCAGATTTTTCTCATATTGAATAATATTTCGGCTTTTGTAAGTTAGGAAAGGAAAAAATAGATATTATCATTATAGTTTTTAGTAAAATATATCAATTAATCTTTTAACGCAGCATTCTATTTGTAGTTCTTTTTAGCTATTAACTAATAGGACCCGCGGCGGTTGAGCGGATGAGGCATAGGGTTAGTAATCCTACGATCTGGAGTTCGAATCCCAGTCCCTTCTTGTCATCTCTGAAATTTTTCGATTTATGTACTACTCTGTGTCAGCGTTCGGAACTTATCTTGACGACTACCTCTTCAGAGATCCATAAAGCAAAAAAAGAGGAGAACAAGAAGAAAACGAAGTGGAAAATTTATTACGAAAAAGTGAGGAAAAATAATCAAGAATAAAAAAAAGTGCGAGCTTGAAGAAATAATCAAGGATAGTTTGGAAATAAGGAAAATAGGAAATGGAACGAAAAATGAATCAAGAAAAAAAATATTCTCCAAGCAAGGAAAAAGAAAGAATGGAAAGGTGTGTTTGCAACCAAAGAAAAAAATGAGAAAAATAACTCAAGGATATAAAGATTAGAGGTCCAAAAGGAAAAATAATCAAGAGAAAAATGGAAAAGTTGAGCCAAAGGGAAAGCGAGGGGAAATAAGCAAGGAAAAGAAAAAGAAAATAAAAAGATTTTTAGATAGAAAATTACTAGGACAAAAAGCACTAAACTAAACTAAAATCGATGAAATGCAATGGCAAAGCAAGAAGACACTCTCCAGCTAGGAGCAACGAGAAAGAGAGGGGTGGAGTCGCGAAAAAGTTTTGAATAATTCACGGTTTCGACAACTCGTTTAACGCGGCACGTTTAACGATAAGACTACGAAATGACAGGTTTAACGGTTCAGCCGAAGGGAGCCCTCAAAGAGACACGTCGTCGTGTCCTCCTCTCTATGTATATGTATGCACGCGTGTCGCATTAACTATGCGATCGAAGCCCGCGCTCTGCATATTTTCTCGTTCGTATGCGATCGCGTAACATTCGCGTGTCTGTAGGCGTGTGTGTTTTCATTGAATCGACCCGGCAAATAATGAACTTCAAAGTTCTAACGTAGCGTTACCGTCCTTTCGGTTGACAACAAAGGGATGGAGCGAGAGAGGGAGAGATATTAGCTACGAGCAGAATCGACTGTAACTCGAATTGAAAGCTGCGCGCTTTCAATGAACCTCTGTAAATAGAAATTACTCGGCTATACAGCATAGCTGTGTGTGCTTAGGCATCACGATCGACAGGAGGAATTCATTTCGTTTCGTTTCGAGGAAAAAGAAAAAAAAAAAAACAAATGAAATTCGAATCTGCATAAATCGGAATTAATTAAGGAAACGGAAAAAACGATATCACGTTCGAGTTCCACTCCATCTTTTTCCCTCGAATACACCGTCTCGATCACACGTGGATTTCCACGCAGCGTAGATTAAAATATCTACGGTGTCAGATGGCGTGCGTGTTCTCATGAAGAGAACCGGATGCCAGCACGCCGGAGTCTGAGCAACGGCGAGACGGAAAAAGAAGAAAAAAAAAAAAAAAGCGCGGCCACGCGACAACTTCCCTTTAAGAGCCAAGGGGAAAACGAACATTGAGGGAAAGAAAGAACACGAAAGAATTCGATCGAATGGTGAAAGAGAACCCCGAAGATGGGGGAAGCCGGGGGAGGGACTTCCTTCCTTCTTATTTATGCATTAAAGATGCCGTCGATCGATATCCATCGATATTGCCATTCTCGAGTGGCGCGCAGACCGTGTCTCGACCAACAGCCGAAACTTAAACTCCATTTCACCGTGGTATTTCAAGTAGTTGCCCAACTCTCGAGAAACTTTAATATCCCACGTCGCGAAAGATTAAAGATTCAACCCGCTACTTGTCATTCCATCGCCACGTTTCACGCGACGTGTCCCCCCTCTCCCCCTTCAGCCCGCCACTAGTCGAATCCCGCGTTTTCCCTCTTTTGCTTTCATCTCGAATCTGTCTCCTCGCTTTTTCGCGCCTACGCTGAGGAGGAGTTTCGATGGTAAATCGTTTGTGGGGAAAGAGGGCAGCTAATCGGTTATCCTTAACATGATTGAGCTGTGAATTTTCTTTTCGGGGACATTCGCGTCTGTTGATTTGACGAAGATTTGGTCGCCAACTCGAAAGGCAGGATTCCATTGATCTCCTCGTTCGATGGCGAAATTAGGAAATAGACAAAAGCCTCGATTTCCCCTACTAGCTTCCAAGAATCCACTCAATCTGAACCACCTATTAACACGTTCCGTGCCAAGCGATTTTTGCCTTTTGTTGTCGTTCAG